CTAAAGTTGATTGCATGGTGGAGAGTGTGTGACACCAGTTCTCGTTAGATCACAGAAGTCAATAATAATAAGTTATCGGAATTAAACACTAAACAGTTTTCGAGTCAGAAAAACGAAAATCCTCTTTTTTGATCAGATTCAGATCAGTTATTTGGGAGGTACCGTTTTAAATCGGACAATGTTATCTTTTTTTTTCGCATTATAGTCCCCGTATGAACAAATGGATAAAAATTGTCGCTAATGCTACTCAATTATGAATATTTAGGTTGGCATCCAAATAAAAATTATAAAATTGTGCTATTATTGTGCTCTGAAATTTAGTTAATTTAGTGTGTTTAGATTTCAGGTAAAACATTTAAATTCTCCTATTTAGGAAGACCTAGAGGTGCAATATGGATGCCATCAAGAAGAAGATGCAGGCTATGAAGGTGGAGAAGGATAATGCTATGGACAGGTAGAAAATGTAATGAATGGACAGGGTGAGCCAAAAAAAGTGTGATTTGTCGCGCCTGATGCAAAATTGTACCTTTTTTTGTGCAACTATCCTGCATGGTGATTTTTCAATATATTTTGAAAATTTGTAATTTTTTTTGGTACTCCAATGGCCCAAATGAAAACCCGCGAATTTTTTTTCTTTCAAAGTCAAAAGTTCAGAAAAGCAAAAATGTATATATAAATTATTTCTATCGAAATCTAAAATTTTTTAAAGATTGAATCTAAGAATCATAGAAAATTCGCAAAATTGTAATAAGAAAATTCGCAATTTAGAAAAAGTGGAAAATGTAGAAAATGTAGAAAACGCAAAAAAGAATGTAGAAAATGTACAGTTAAACCCTAAATATGAAATGCATCGAAAGAATTTATCAAATGTCGTATTCCTCACTTTCTGATAATGGAATGTTGAAGATATTTAGTTTTTTAAATTAAATGATTATATGGACCTCTATAAAACTGTTCCCGCATATTCATGGCTATTTATTTATTTTCGCAATTACTGAGATTTACGTAAAATAGAAAATCCATTAAATAATTGTCAAGACGACATTTCATAAATTCTTTCGATGTATTTAGGGTTTAACTATAGAAAATGCAAAAAAAGTAGAAAATGTAGAAAAAAGTAAAAAAGTAAAAAAGTAAAAAATTCAAAAAAAGTAGAAAATGAAGAAAATGTAGATAAAGATTTTTTATTTTTTAACGAACGGTTATAACTGATATCTCTTTGAATATATTCAGTACACACTTCCTATAGTAAAAACAGCTAGGTTAAAAGAACAACATTTTCATAACTGTAAATAATCAAATTTCAAAGATAAAAACATAGATATCTCAATATGCATTCATTCTTGATAGAAAAAAAAGGTTTTATAAGTGATCGCTGTGATTCCTTCATTCTTTTTGTTTTATTTTTAAATTACTTTGTGTTCTGTGTTATGTATCTATTAGTTATTTGTTAATTTCAAAAAATAAACGTTAGTATAAACTAAGGGCCAGTCAATCAAAACAACCAGAAATGGTTAGGCTGTAGCCCTATTGTGATCTTAGCCAAAATATATTATTCCACACATTTTTTTAGGTGCGATGGGTGCGAGGAGGCAGCAAGAGTCGCAAAGGTTAGGGTGCTATTTCATTTGAACTACTGCCGTTTGAACTATGGCTCATTTGAACTATTGTTCATTTCAACTACTGCACGTGGGACCACGTGAGTAGTTGAAATGAACAATAGTTCAAACGAGTAAATATATTACTCATTTGAACTATTTTTTAGTTCATTAGAACTATTTTCATTTGAACTATTAAAATATTATTAATGAAATAAACCAAAAATAGTTCAAATGAACATAAAAATAGTTCAAATGAAAAAAAGAATAGTTCAAATAGACAAAAAAATAGTTCAAATGAGCAAAAAAATAGTTCAAATGAACAAAAAAATAGTTTAAATGGGCAAAAAAATAG